TTCTGATGCAAGGGCAGTTCCCTAACCCCTACACAGGCCGGTCGGCAAACATCTAAAAGATAGCTCGCTAGAAAATGTGTTTTTTTCTCATTTTTTAAACTTATATTTGAATGAGCAGCAGTTTTGTTGTAAATTCCGATTTGCAACAGAAGAATTATTCAATGAATGCGATATATGTGCCCTCTATTTTTTTATTGCTACAAGCAGGTCGAATTAGTTTTTAATGTTATTAATTCTCTATATTATTATTTCTCTAAGTATAAATAATTCAAGTATAACTACCACCAATATATATACAAGAATTAATCTATTACCATTTCGCCATAATGTATTTTTTCGTATTTTACTTTATTTACAGAAGAATAAAATAATATGCAAATTAAAAACCAATGTGTCTGAAAGGAGACCAACTGAAATATATGAGATTCTCCAATTTACAAAAGAAATTTCACGAAAAGAGTTTTTTTACTTACCACCTAAATTATATAATAAATTACCATTCCAGTTGCAAAATATCCAAATATATTATTCTTTTAAGCTTGCCTTATTTCAATTTGTGATGAACATTGATGATTTAGATCTATATTTTTCATTTAAAGGAAGCATTTTATTTTTTTATACCAGTCTTGTGCCAATCCAAATGNCACCTAAATTATATAATAAATTACAATTCCAGTTGCAAAATATCCAAATATATTCTTCTTTTAAGCTTGCTTTATTTCAATTTGTGATGAACATCGACGATTTAGATCTCTATTTTTCACTTTAAAGGAAGCATTTAATTTTTCGTACCAGTCTTGTGCCAATCAAAATGAATTTCTTATGTTACCTTTATTATTTTTTTTATATAGTTTCATGTATTATTTTTTTTTTCTTTTTCTTTTTAAATTTCTATTTTAAACTGATTGTATTACCTTTCTTCGTCGCCTTGTCAGGATTTTCCTCTTGGCGACGAATATTTATTCTTTGTATTTATGTGTATGTTTTTGTTCCCAATAAAGTGCTTTGTTTGTTTGTTAATGTGATATTACGACATGGCAGTTTCGAATCGTGCCTTTCAGTAATCACTTTTCAACGCGCTTGATCAACACCTACTAGGTGGTTATGGCTTGATACCATCCTAAACCGTGTTTGAATCCCCCACACCCCTTTTTGCAGTTGATTTAATAGATTTTCTGATGAGTTTTAAAATTCCGATATTATTACAAGACGCAAAATTTGAATCACGCATTTGAATAATCACTTTTTGATACGCGTGATTGGCGTCCATCCCATCTTAAATCTATGCGTTGTTTTGATTGTTTTATCGGCTATTGCTACGAGTTCTCTCAATTTTTTAAAGTTTATTTATTTTTATTTTTTTTAAATTTTTGTATTGTTTATACATTATTATTACACGCAAAATTCAAGTCGTGGATTTATTAGTCACTTTTTGTCGCGATGATACTGTTTTCTCCGATCAACGTTTTCACAGTTATTGCTATTGATATCCTCGTGATTTTTAAATCCCGATATTTTCATACGATATTATTAAGAAACGAGAAATTAGAATCGCGCACTTGAATAATTTTTAACTCTCGATTTGCGCAGAATTCACGCTGCGTTTCAAAAAGTTTTTTTTTTTTTTTTTGGCAATTGTTGCTTTTCACTTGATTTTTTAAAATCCCGTTAATATTATGATACGGGGAATTCAAATCGCGAACCTGAGTATTCACTACAGTCGAACTCGTTTATAACGAGCTCGGATTTAACGAGAACTCGGATTTACCGAGGGAAACGAGNGTAAAACAACAATATAAATTATTTCCAAAGGAACTAGACTAATACAATTCAAACTTGGCGAGTAGCGACTTATAACAAGACACTTCGTTTGATGCTTTTACTTGTTGCTAGAAATCAGGTTCGCAGAAAATGCTGTTTACTAGTTAAATTTAGTAGGAATAACACGATCTGTGACGTAGGCTATAGTATACCCAATTGTTGCTTTTCACTTCATTTTTTAAAATCCCGTTAATATTATGATACGGGGAATTCAAATCGCGAACCTGAGTATTCACTATAACACGTTATTTCTATCGTTTTTTGAATCAATTTTTTCACAGTTATCACTATTAATTTTCGGCCGATAATTTTTTAATACGATATTATTAATTACGACACAATAATCCGAAACGTACATTTAATTAACCCATTTTGATCAGTGTGATTCCTGTGGTTTAATCGTGGATACGCATGGTATTATCATCAATCTTGCCGTTATTGCCGTGGAATTTACGGCTTTTAAATTATTATTATTGGCGCGATAACGACTTGTACAGTCCTAAATAGGAAAAATATGTAGTTTCTTTTTTCCAATGCATGTGTTCTTTTGTGTGTTGAAGAGGAAAAAAAAATTTGAGGTTAAAAAGATTTTTCTTTCTCTCTTTAAATTTTTTAAATGCTACTTATGTGTATAAAAACGAGATTTTTATTTATTTTCTATGTGCAAAAAAGAAAAAAAAATTATCAGATAATTTCTTCTTCTAGTAATCACACGTTTCACTCTCTTTCAATTATCCTGCACCACGTTAAATTTGGACGTACTCTTCGCCGTTTTTCCTCTGGCGCCCAGTTAAAGGCCCATTTCTGTGCATTCCTCCGGTAAAGCACCGTCTGCTAATTTTAATTTCCTCACCTATGAGTTTTATTTTTGTTTCTTGTTATAGCATTTCATTGGTAATGGTTATTAGATTAAAAGACATAAGTTTTTTTAATAGCAAAAAAACATCTAGAAAACGAAAATCAAAAATATACTTTAAATTTACGTATAGTGAGAAAAATGATCTCTAAAAGATTGAAAATTAAAGAAGAACGGGGGTATATTTTATTTATTTTTCATTATTGTTTATATATATATATAAAAGAAACGGGTATTTTTAAAATTTTGGTTGTCATCTTACAACTGATAAAGTTTAAAAAAAAAAAAAAAAAAAAACTTGCCAGNTGCAGTGAATTAAACTTTATTTATTTATATATGAATTGAATAAATATTTCAATTACGTTGCAATTTTTTACGTGTATGAATTATTTAAATATGTATTAATAGAGAGTTTTATCTTGTGACATATTTACAAAAATGTTTTTTTTTCTTTTCTGAAATTTAAATTTTAAAGAGTTGTTATGATAAAATGTGCAAAATAAATGAAAGTAAAAAAAAAGTAAATTGAAAGAAAAATTAATTTTGTATTACTTTAAGTAGCAGTAAAAAATAGCACAGTCCCATTTGAAATGAGTGTTATTGATTCTAATAAGTTAAAAAAAAAATAATAATGATGCTTTCTATTTACAAATGGGCATTTGTAGGAACTGTTTTTACGTAAAACTATAAATTTCGCGATGAAATTGGAGAATACAAAATTTTCAGAAAAATTGAAGACAGGTTTTCTTAAAAGGGGTCATTTTTTAATATTATTATCGATAAAAGTTACCGATCGAATGCTAATTGCACGGCACCATTCTAGAGATAGAAATTCTGAAATTGTTTATTTCCTAAAATTATAGATTCAGTGGTGTAAATTAGACATTATTTCTAAACTGTCCCTTTTTAACGTTAAATTTTAAATTACTTTTTTTTAATGTCATTAATGGAAACATTATTTTACAGATGGACGCGTATAGGTCCAAAAATATTTATATTAATTGGAATTAAATGAGTGAATATTATTTCGAAATTGTTAATTTTATCATTACCTTTTATATTGTTTTGTTCATAAACATTTGAGTATGTTATTTTGAAGTGTTAAAATACTTTTTCATATTATATAAAATTTATCGCTGTTTTGCCCTATATATTTTTTTGAATAAAAGAACAATTCTGGGACTTTTATAAAAGAAATAACTTTGTAAGAATTGTTTTTTTTTCATTAAAAAGAATGACTGAGCTAAGCACAAAATGAAAAAGCTAATTTTTTAATCTGAAAGATGATACAGCTAAATGTTTTATGCATGTAAATGCATCGACATGATACTTTGTCGATAAATACATAGATTACGTTTATACATTAAGAATCTGAAAGACTAAACTATATACTTTTAAATGAGCGAAACACTCATATTTTTAAAATGCTTTTTTTTAGAACATGATGTATTGATTTTTTTTCAAGATAGAAACTGTGAAAGATAATTATAGTATGCATTATTTAATTAGCGGTTATTTTCAACCACTACACCATTAAAATTTCATTTTAATTTAAATTTAATAATTGACCAACAGTTGCTGTCTTGATGTCGTTCAACCTGTGGTACAATTCGAAATGTACAACCTCGGCACTTAAAAAGTATCACACCATTTTGAAAGTATTTAAACGAAATTGGTTGAATAGCTCTAGAGAAATCAAATTTTAAAAATGTATACGACTCAGAAATTATTTGACCAATTGCATTCAAAATTAGTATTTTGCCATTTAAGATAGCATGCTTTAAAATGATATAAAAAAAACTGTATGCTTTATAATTTAAATTTTTCGATTGTTATTAAATAAAACAAGCTCTCTCATGCCTAAACTATTGGAGCCATGTTTCTCACAATTGCAGTAATATTTTGAGGATGATGAATTAATAATCGCCGAAAAGAGAGGTATGTTTATTTAAAGAAAGTACGTTTATGTGTTGGATTTCGTGACTTAAAATATCACTGCTTAATTAACATATTTCAGATTAAGCCCTCGAACTATTGAGATTGGCTCCTAATAACGATGTTAGATTAATATGTCAACGATGTTAAATCAAATAATCCAATGGTTAGATCAATAGTTATTCCTGGTGCTTACTTTTTTTGTCTACTTTATCACAGATTGAAAATTTGCATTGAGCATGAGATCATCTTTTGAAGATAAATAATTTTGTTAAATAAATCAAAAATTGATGGATTTTTTTTTATAAATTGATTCAAAATATAAACTTTTTTTTCCAACACCAGTTGATATAAATCAGTACAACTATGCTTTAAACCGTTTTCCCAGGTTCTGGAATTTTCATATCCCCGAAAGGAGTGCTTGTTCGATCTGGGTCTGTGGGTGCAAGTCTCATTGTATGGGCTGGATGCGGTCTCATTTCACTTTTTGGTAAGTATTTCACCTATAATTCAGTTTTTACGAAAATGACTATTGTCGTTTTACCTCTAGAATACTGTTAATATGAAAATACGCGGTTGACTATAATTCGAAGAGCAAGATGTAGCTGATGTAAACGCCTAAGTAACCTGTCAATTATCGTTTCAGTGTGTGTTATCGTTCGTGATACTGTTCATTCAACGTTCATTGTGTGTTATAGTTGGTGACAATTATAGTTTTATGTCTAGAATGCTAAAAATACTGTTAATATGAAAATACGCTTTTGACTATAGTTCGAAGAGCAAGATGTAGCTAATGTAAACGCCTAAGTAACCTGTCAATTATCGTTTCAGTGTGTGTTATCGTTCGTGATAATGTTCATTCAACGTTCATTGTGTGTTATAGTTGGTGACAATTATCGTTTTATGTCTAGAATGCTAAAAATACTGTTAATATGAAAATACGCTTTTGACTATAGTTCGAAGAGCAAGATGTAGCTAATGTAAACGCCTAAGTAACCTGTCAATTATCGTTTCAGTGTGTGTTATCGTTCGTGATAATGTTCATTCAACGTTCATTGTGTGTTATAGTTGGTGACAATTATCGTTTTATGTCTAGAATGCTAAAAATACTGTTAATATGAAAATACGCNACACTGAAATCTAATGAATGGGCTACCTCAAATAGGGAATTAAAAAAAGGAGGAAATTCATAGCAATAATAACACGAGCGATTAATCCTCACTTCGGCCGGATCACGCTATTGGTCGTAGATGACATCACTGTTTGGGGGAAGGGACATGCTGTGTATTGCATAGTAAATTGGCGACAGATCTTGATTTGGCTACAGATTTTAAATCTAGCTTTCAAACGAGCTCTGTTTACACGTGGTATTAATGTTCTTGTTTTTATCTATTAATGTTTTCTTGTTGTTATTAATTATGAATGAGGTGATTTGCGAAAAAATATTTAAACGAAATAATAATTTATACGAGCATATAAAAATGTTCATAAAGCTAATGTAAAAACTGGAAGTTTAAAATGTCCTATGAATGGGAATATTTATTATAATCAAAAAGTAATAAAGACAATATTCACATTTTGAGCAGTTTTGTGGTAATTTTTATTAGAATCTAAGTAAGTGATATTAAACAATACTGCTTTTACGTCACGGTCAACTGGGGCTGATCTAGAAATGCAGGGGGGGGGGAAGCTAAGCACAGAATTTTGGTCATTACTTTGAACTAAATTTAAGTGTTGTTTGATTATAAAGTTTTTAAAATTACTCATAACACAACTAAATGAAGATGTATCAGTAAATTTGAGCTTATATTTGTATCAACTTCGTTACTTTATAACTGTAAAAGATAATTCTCAAGGAAAAGCTACAATAAAAAAAAAACTTATTTGTAATATTGCTCCAACATCTTATATTTGCAAGAACATTCATTATATTTATTTATTATAGTTTTCATGAATTTCAATCAATTAAAACAAAAATATTGTCTGAAATACTGAAGAGGACATTTACCTATCTCCCCCACCCTAACGACGACATAATATTATGTAAACATTTACAAGGAAGAAATAAATCCCGAAGCACATGTTAGTACAAAATTTGTCGCCAAAATCATACAAACACCAGCCAATAGCCACCATCTCCCTTCCCCCAAATAGTGATGTAATTTTCGACCAATGGCATGATCCGGCCCAAGTGAGTATTAATCGCTCGTGTGCCACTTATGCTTAGCTTTATACGGTCAATTATCCATTGTGGAAAGTTGCCTAAACCGTACCTCATCCCAATCGTACCACCTTTTATTTCTGAAGAATCATTGTACGCTACCGATAGGCGTGTGAGGCACCCAAATTTTGTCCTGGTCGAAATAAAAATACAACAGTTACAAAAGTTCTGTACTCGATTGCAAGTTAAGAAAACACCCATAGCGGTAAAGAATTTAAGTAATCATCCGCGACTGCATATAGTTCCGTTTTATTTAGCTATCGAATTATATAATTATGCTTTCAAAACAATTTAAAAGCTTTTAAAAGTTTAACTCTTCGGACGGAAATTGAATTCATGCTATTTTTTATAAGCGAAAAGAAGGCCATACCACGTCGTTTCAAGATTTGGCGATGTTGATATTCGTTCGCGCTTCGAGCTTGGCATCCATTTAACATGCACTTAGATGCAAGCAGGCTCTCTCTATAGGGAAAATGGTTTTTTCTTAACTTGCAACAGAGTATAATAATTTAAAAAAATTTATTCCATCTGCCAAATTATTATTATCTCAACTTGTTTATAACTCGATTAAATTTAAATTGATAATGATTCCTGAAGGGGGGGAAGGGGACTTTTTTGAAGTTCTTAATTTATTGTGGGAGCATACACCCACCATCAAACGTCGCCTATGGCTGTAGCGGATAAATAAAGTAGCTCTTATCATTACCGCTTGGAAATCCACGCAGAAGAATCTGAGTATAGTTTTTACTTAAATTTGTAGGTTTTACAAGTTTTTAATGTAATTTTTAAACATCCTGTTTAAGGATATAGTTGAACAAAAGTAATTATTGTTGTTAAGCAACTTATTTTGCTATATGTTCTTTGGCAGCTAACTATTGCTCAAGGCACTTTGTTTAAAACGTAATGCTAAATTGTGCGGATCAACTTCAAAACTGGATGATAACCGCTATCATTATCGGTAGCATATAGATTACCGATGTATAAAACGTAGTTCTAAATTGTACCGATCAACTTCAACTACAGTGGATGATTACCGCTGTCATTTTCAGGTGCCCTCTGCTACGCTGAACTGGGTACCTCTATACCTGTGTCTGGTGCTGAGTATTCCTACTTCCTACACGTATACGGTAAGAAAGGGAGGTTCGGTCCAGTGCCCGCCTTCCTCTACATGTGGATGTGTTCTATCATCATAAAACCTGCCGCAGTATCCATCATGTTGCTCACCTTCTCTGAATATATAGTCACACCATTTTTCCCAACTTGTTCCTCGCCTGACATTGCCAAAAAACTCATCGCCCTCGCTGCTATATGTAAGTATCTCCATCTTGGAATTTTAGTTTCTTTTTGATGCTATTGACAAACAAAATATCTTTTAACAAAAAGGTAGAAAGTGAAAAGGAGGCGCTTTATTAGATTAAGAGAAATAATTTTTAGAACTTTTATGATTTTTTACTCTTAACTTCAAAGCAATAAAAAAAAAATTACTATTCGTGGTTTTGAGAAAGTAATTTAAAACTCCACATTTCTCCATTTTTAAATTTTGTTTTTTAAAATGTAGTTTTTTTTCAAACGTTGTAACCAAATCGGTTTTAATCTGTTTAAATTGTAATAATTTAAACGGAGTAAAACCGATTAATTTAACGGAACAGACTAAAACCGCAAATTGCTCAAAAATAAAAATATTTTTAACTATAAACTAATTAAGATAAGCTAAACATTTAAAATATAAACCAAGAACAACCGAATTTAACTATATTTCAAAACTGCTGTTTTTTAAAACTGTATTGGTATGCCGGAAAAGCATAGTTAGAATTTTCCCTCCCCGTCTCTCGCCCTTCTACCGCAAAGAATATACAGAGATGAAGAAGGCTAGCTTCGATAGACAAAATGTAAACCGGTCTTCCATAGCTTGGTGCAGTCCATGTGTATAAATGAAACAACAACATTTAGGAGAACAACAGCAGAGAGTTTTGAAACAGGTTCCGTTTTCACTCTTCTCTCCCCCCAACCACTACTGGTAGAAGATGCAACGTTTTCTTTATCTATTATAAGTTTGTTCTGCATTTCTACGCCATTTATAAACGGTACTGTCCAATTAATTAAGATATTCTTTGAGAATACATTTATATCATTTTATATATGTTGATTAAATATGCTAACATATTTTGAGGTAAAAAGAATTAATGAAATGGCAGGTGACAGCGTACACAACATTACTTGTAGAGTTATAAACGGTGCTGTCCAATTAATTAAGATATTCCATTGAGAATACATTTATATCATTTTATATATGTTGATTAAATATGCTAACATATTTTGAGGTAAAAAGAATTAATGAAATGGCAGGAGACGGCGTACACAACCTTACTTGTAGAGTTACAAACGGTACTATCCAATTAATTAAGATATTCCTTTGAGAATACATTTATATCATTTTATATATGTTGATTAAAGATGCCAACATATTTTGAGGTAAAAAGAATTAATGAAATGGCAAGGGGACAGCGTACACAACCTTACTTGTAGAGTTATAAACGGTACTGTCCAATTAATTAAGATATTCCTTGGAGAATACATTTATATCATTTTATATATGTTGATTAAAGATGCCAACATATTTTGAGGTAAAAAGAATTAATGAAATGGCAGTAGACGGCGTACACAACCTTACTTGTAGAGTTATCCAACAACCAGTTCACAGGAGACATACTATCTCCGGAATGTCATTTTACTTCTTACGCGCATGCTCTGTATTGCTGGCACAGTTTAGATAGAGCGCAGTTGAAATTGCTAAGTAAGCATAATGAGTTGTGGTTGTAGTTCATTTACGTCGCTCTAGAGCTGCACAAAGGGGCTATTGTCTCACGGTCTGGGAAACATCCCTGAGGATGATCCGAAGACATGCCATCACAATTTTGATCCTCTGCAGATGGGATGGCACCCCCTCTTCGGTAGCCCGACGACCTGCACGCGAAGTCGAGCACTTTACGGTAGAACAGTTTAACACCCTCGGACCCAACATAGACTAATCCAAGTAGTCACCCACCCGCACACTGACCGCAGTCAGTGATGCTGGAACCGTGTCTTAACCATCAGTCCACTGCAGGACAAGCAATCACAATGAAAAAGTCATCTTTGAACTTACAAGAATTTTTATTAAACAAGAAAAATTATAACTGAACTTAGACATCACATAACTTTATAAGAGAAAACAATCCTCGAGAGTATTCTACTCTCCATAACATGAGGTAACAAAAGTCACTCCATACAGTCATGAAAATCATCAAATCTAATCTTGATTTGTCTTATATATATATACAGGCATATAACATCCAATCAAAAAACACTTGCAAAATGAGGGTAGAAAACGTAATACGCCTAAAATTAATATGTAAATTTCGTCTTTAAAATATTTCTAAATGATCGAACTCCCTCGTTCAGAAGTTTTTCAAGCTTGTGATTTCTGACTCACCGTTCTTCTTACTCGAACCTTGTTCTTTGAAATTCGTAGTCTGACATGGATCTTGGTGCATATGATGTTCCGCTATATCTGAGTATATTGCTTGCTCAATAAGTTGTTTACCTGGTATAGCATACCGCACCCAACAGTTCCGGCCTTAGTTGCGTATTCTATCTATATTCTTTGTTCTAAAGTTGAGTTCGATCGAGAGAGGAAGGGCTTCTTAAAAGAAAAGAGTTTAAATGAAAGCTTCTTTCTTAAAATAAACAGTGGGCAAAATAGAAGTTCTTAATCTAGTGATCTGATTTCAACGAACCCAATCAGATTTTCACTAACTAAGATGCAATTTTAATGTTGCAAGCTGATACATTAAAATTTTTACAGACGATATTTTAATCGTGAAAAATGGAGGCAATGGGCTATTAGGAAAATGAGTAGAATATTTTGAGTTATGAAATCAGACACAAATACGTACTTTCTCTAAATAAACATACTTTTTTTTCAACTCATAATCTTCGAAATGTAGCTGCAGTCTCAAAAATATAATCACAATAGTTTAGGCAGGAGAAAACACGAAAATTTCGTCTCTTTAATGCTGTTTGAAGATAAGTAACAGATTGCTTCTTATCTTCTAGCAAAAGAGTATAAAAATTAATCATCTGCCACTAATATAATACTATTAGTTTACCTCGAATGGTTTCAGCCAAGGTATATTTAACACCGTAGAAAAAAACACAATTCATTTTGATATGAAATAACTCAAAACCTGCATGTCTACATTAATAATTTTCAGAATATTCTTTCAAACATTTCTCTAAAAATTTGCAATTTAATATTATATCATTGATTTCTTTTTGCGTTATGAGAATGAGAAGCCGGCGCGGTGGCAACGTTAACAGCATTAATCATAATTATTTTTAGACATACTGGGGCGCTCTGTCCTCCACTTCTTGCTGATCGCTGCTTTTCGCTTATTTTAATAATAGAGACTATGCCCTCTGCTCGTTATTGCTGCACAATCCTCAAAATTTCTTGTACGATTCATGATGCGAAAGAGCTTACGAATGCTAGAATTCTTGGTGCAGGTTTGGCATGACCAAAAGCTCGCTCTTTTCACCTGTACAACCTACTGTGAGACCGTTTGCAGACAAAGAGATATTCATTCTTTAGCTTTATAATTTAATTACTAAAAATAAATTAGAAATTTAACCAAAGACTTCAAACTGTGTAAGTAAAAAAATAATCATAATTTTCCAGCTAGTTGTTATCGTATTCCATTAAGACAGTGTTTCCCAAAGTGTGGTACGCGTACCCTTAGGGGTACGAGAGTAGTTTGGAGGGGTTACACGTTCCTATGCGAAATATCTTGCAACAATTTGCGAAAATTTCAAACAATTTTATTTTAAAACAAAGTTAACCACGAAAATTTACGATTACGTATTTTTCTATTGGCTATTTTTTGCAGAGTTAACAGTTAATAATGAGTGGTATCAGCAGCCAGTTGTGATTTTTATCTTTCATATGCAATTATTTTATAGTAAGAAATACTCATTTTTTTATTAGTGGTACACAGCGTTTCAAAAAATTTAGAACGGGTACGCGAAAATCATATGTTTGGGAATCACTGCATTAAGACAACGGGTGCATTTTTGTTGTCTTACAGTTGCCCCATCTATGGCCAAGAATTCGACCATTTTAGAAAGAGGAACTCTATTCATGTATCCATTCATTCATCCGCAGATCGTAATTTTGACCAGAGAACGATCCATCTCCAATTCAGTACCCTCAGAAATATAATTTGTTATGTGAACATGGAGGACTTTATGACCAGACAGATTTAACGTGCTCCAGTTACTACACTAGGAGTCTGGATTCGAACTCCTGTTCTCACGAACGCGAGTCCAGTGCCCTGCCAACAAGGCTATCCCGGCCCTTCTCCAGCTACTAGTTTCGCTAAACTAAATTACGCGGCACAATAGTTAATCTTCAACTTTGACATAAAATAACGATAAAACTAATAATCTTTTACATATTTGTAATGAGCTGCGCTCTCTAATTCTTATAATAGCATAAGAAGTACATTTAGAAAGCTTTGCGATTAGATCTCCCATATTACTTCATTCATATATGACTCACATTTACTAGTGGTTGGGAACCACTGCCCTAGATGAAAGTATGATAACGGATATATATATTTAAATGCTATCCTTGTTACTTCCATTAAGAGAGCATTTTCCGAAATTCTTACTTAAAAAAAAGGAAATTGTACTTTAATCTATGATTCATGTCTATCTAATCTCTTATCGTACCCTCTCTGAGGTCACTTCACTTTACTTCAAAGAATTATTTTCAACGAGTAAAATAGTTATTAAAAAAAACGTGCGTCATAATAAACTATCTAGTGTATGGCGAAACTTTCAATTATGCATTCGATGAATGACGTAACCAAGAAATATTTACCACAAAAGATTTTTGATACAAACGGTGTCTGATTTTTATTGAATTATGAACTTGACTTAACGCTTGTCATCTTTATGAGCCATACAAATTGTCTGAAAATATTTGCTTGTAATATATCTGTTTTATAATATTTTTTTGTCTAATATTTATTCTAAGATTAAAATTATGGAAAAAAATGTTTTGGCGTTGTAGTGCTTAAAACAGTGGTTGGTGGGTGAAGCGACTATTGTTACCCGTTACATTTATAGTCGCTTATTACTTTTTAACTACATAAAAGTGAACTATTTATTATTAATTAGTTATTTATCTTATTTTGCTTAATAACCATCGTTGAACAGCCGGCCCAATTTTTGGGTTTATGACAACTAACGTTCATCTCCGTAGCCTTGT